TGCCTGTAAAGGGAAGCAATTACGTACAATGGAACTCGTGGTAGATATATACATGAGATCTCTGCCGTCTTGATGGTCATTGTCATAACACTGCAATCCCAGTTCGCTTCGCTGGCGCAGAAATGTTTACGGAGAACAAAGCTGATGAAACTTTTCATGTGTCTTATGCATATCTTTATTCGATGGTCGGCTGAAGAGACATCGATCGGACATACAAATGTGTCTCTGAATGGAGATTCTTTCTCGTGAAAAGCTGCATTTGCCCATTTATTTTCTCCTGTTTTTACCAACCCTATGAATGTGTTACCGGACTATCAAAGGTATTCTGGGTAGTTGTGAGTCATTATGTTTGCTATTCAGTATGCTTTTCAATTTTTGGAAAAAATTCAAAAGTTAAGTTTTTGATATTTTTTTCTTGGGTGGTTTCTTTCGTTGTGGGATCGTTGTGGGTCGTTTTGAGATCGTCCTCGGTCGTTTGAAGATCGTTGTGGATCGTTGTGGGATCGTTGTGGGTCGTTGTGGATCGTTGTGGATCGTTGTGGGTCGTTGTGGATTGTTGTGGGTCGTTCCGGGTTTTAGTAACTACGTAATTGATATAAGATTATTCAAATTTCGGCTTCTGTGTACAGTGTCAAATTTTGAATAATTAACCTGCATCGGCTGTGCAGATCTATTCGAAACAACCGTTTCAATCTGTCGACGACCATCGTTTCAACACAACCAGGTTAAAAGATTTTAACACAGTTGATTTGCGTGTTTTGGGTTCAATTCTATCCATGTCGTGTTGATGTCTTGCAAAGTCCTATTATGGCTCTTGTTTCCACGTAGTACGATCAGCTTTGCAAATATCACTGTATTAGTACATTTTTGCTGATCAGGTCTTCTTAAGATCCTACGTCGGTTCTGCAGCGTATTCGTATGCGGTCATTCGCAGTTAATTTTGCTTTTATTACTAAGGGCTTGTACCCGGAGGCGGTTTCCTTTTCATCTTCTTTGCGAGACATCAACGCGACACTTGGACTCTTACCCTCCCGGAGACACGTGATATGGCGTGATTTGGCGGGTGTTAGAGTTCAATGTTCTGGCTTATAACAGATTTCTAGTGATGATGTCTTGTCCGGGTGTCTTGCAAAGTCAATTTTCACGTAGTACACGATCAGCTCTTCAGATTTCAATGTACAACCCTTTACCCTTTTATATACTATTTTTTGAAAGAAAAGGTACCCCTTTCGTATATCTTCTATTTGAGCAATAGAAAACGTTTCTCGTGTTTGCATAGCCCGATAAACAGGAGGGGGTGTTGGGAGAATTCGGCATAACTATCGAGAATTCTCCTAACCCCTCGAGTGTTTTTGTCGGGCTATGTATACACAGTTAAAAAGTTTCAATTGCTTTTATAACATAACTTTTTAGAGGAAAAAAAAGCAAACATCTTTGCTTATGGCTTTGATTAAAAGAGAAATTCTTGCCGGTCGCGAAGTGTTGTTTACGACGTTACGTGCGCGTAATCAGTTCTTGTTTTGCAAAAAAGATGCTTTCCAAAATACGGATATTTCTTGCTTAAAATGTCAGCTTAAGCAAAAGAAATTGACACACTGCTTTTGTAAAGACCTTCCAAGTTTCAGCCGACGAGGAAATGGGTAAATATAGTTAACTTCTCAACTAAAAAACCTTTTTCAAATTCGTGCTTGTCCGATACTTGCGTGATTAGCGCGTTCAACAAAACATCTTGACGTCACAACTGTGTTTACATACTCTCATAAAAACAGGCCTCTCGGCCAATCAGAACGTGCGTACTATCTTAGTCAACTTATAACGAGGCTGCTCTAGTTTAGAACTTTGCATCCTTGTAACTGCTGTGTTTGAAATAGGAAAAAAACACAAACCAGAAGGCTGGGGTATTTTTACAACCGAAACGACAGATTTCCCGGCCTTTTTATCTACGTAAACTAGTGAAATCCCTTTAGGACGCCCTCCCCCCCCTCCTATAGATCGTTATAGAGAGTACCCCTCGGGGCAGATCATCAGTTTGTTAAGAACTCATAAAAACTAAGGACGCCACTCGAACGAGAAAACGTTTTTCGCAACTGTAATAATGCTTGTGTGCGCAGGCGCAGAGGGATTGGGTAAATTATCATTCGCCAATTGCACATCTCCCATAACGCATAATGCACCATGTTTACCCCCCCAAATTTTACATAACCTTTGTTTTTCATTTCTCCTGGGTATTGCAGTCGTCCCGAGAGAAATTGAAGACAATGCTTATGCAAAATGTTTGGGTAGGTGGGCAAACAAGGTGCACGCACATTGTGCGAAATTTGCAAATGGAGAATAAATATGCTTCACGGGCGAAAATGATCGATCGACTGAACCGACGTTACCACGCAGCGAGCTGGTTTAAGAGAAATAGTCGCTCCAGTGAGTGAATGTGGTTAAAATTCTTATCCTTTACACTTTTATGTAATGAAAATGTACCTGTCCAATATGCGAGTGCATCCCAGACCCATTCAAGGGTACCCTGTGGATTAGCTCTATTTTATTATCTAATCCAATTAAACTAGGATTGAGAGACAGCTAGCAAGCTTACACATGGGTAGAAGTAACAGGCATACACGATCAGTAAAAATTGTAAAATCTGACACTCCTACTGTCAGATGTTACGGTAGATTTTGCATGAGTTCCTGACACCTGCTTGCTCTCTCTCCTCTGCCTGCAGCCTAGCTGGTGGCTTTTTTTGTCAATATGTGTAAACGAGAGGCGGAGGCTACAGGGAAGTTGGGCGGAGAAAAGGAAAAAGAAAGGGACCGTTCCGTCTTCGGTACTACAAATTTCCCTCCTGTGGAATGAAGTTTCATTTTTCCGAGCTCTAACCAAGGCCAAATCGCCAGTTGTAAATGCAGCCATTCTCTTTGTCTGCAGTCCTCAGTGGTGAGCCTGCACCACAGACAAAACTAAACTCTGGTTAAGTCCTGACTCGTCCCCAGTCGTCTCTCATAATTAGTATTTGGCGTGGAAGACGAGAACAGGCTCTTTAACGAAGGGGATGACAGGAAGGATAAGCCAAGCGCTTCCCTAGTAAATAATTAATGAGTAGAGACAACTTTGAGACGACTGGGGACGAGTCAGGGTTAAGTTCGTCTGCGAAACAGCACGGAAAGCCTTGTTGTAGGCCCCACCTGTGTACCAGGATTTGAGTACGCGCCATGATTGGCCCGTTAAAAAGCCATTGTTGATCTGCCAATCAGGGTGACAGGAAATTCGAGACGTACTTCCGGTAATTCGTTGAGTCCGTTGGGGGCCCAGAAAAAGATATCGGCGCTGCCTACCGGGTTAAATAACCTCTGCTACGCACGCTATCAGCATATGAGCTAGCTAAGGGACTAACTGTATTTATTTTTCTTTCTTGATTCGTTGCTTTATTTTTAGACTTACCTGATGGAAGTGTAGATGTGGTGATTGCCTCTCAGAGTTTCCACTGGTTCGCTAATCAAACCGCTCTTGAAGAGATTCATCGGGTTCTTGCGCCAGATGGGAAGCTTGCTATCATTTGGAGCGCACCTGACATTTCTCTTCCTTGGATGGCAGAAATTTGGGCATTTGTGGGTACCTTAATTAAAGAAAACTCCCTAATTACACCGTTTGATGAGGATTGGAAAAATGTGTTTGGCTTAACTCCCCAAAAGCTGTTCAGCGATTTGGAAGAAAATTCGAGTTTTCTTCTAATCATGCCAAGTTCCTTTGAAGATTGCTACGAGTATTTTGCTTCCTATTCGGTTTTAATCAATAGCACTGAAAGCCGTAGAAAGTCTTTTAGAAAGTTGTTCGATGAGATAATGAAAAAGTATTTCATAGACAGAGGAACTGACCTTGATCATTTTCCCTTTAATCTATTCATGTATTGGTGTACTAAAATAGTCTAGACAAATCATATTCTTATCTGAATGACGGACCATTAGATTGAGTGACGGGTAAGGTAATTTTCAGTTTGTAGGAATTTTTTCGGTGTTTACAAATCATTGCCTAGATTTTCTGCATGAATTTTTTAAAAATCGCATTGAAAAATATACTTTTTCGGAATGTGTACATTCAGTGTCTGATATTGGGCGGATACTGATCTATGTGACACAGGAAGTGGCAAGGAAACAAGTCCCAAAAGACCGCCTTTTATCTAAGGTACGCTGCCCAAATTTAGTCCTGGGAAATGCAATTTTCAACAACAACAACAACAACATAACATAAGCTTTATTGGCATGGCAATACGGTAGTTACAGTAATGCAAAAGCTTTAAGATAGAGTTACAATTTATACTAATGATAATACAATGCAATTATTCAGCAATTACAATGGCCAATCAAGTGTCATCAGTATGATTTGAAAACACATTATTACGTAAATCATTTACATAATGAAACAAATTTCAACAAATGTGAATTTACAGAAACATTCCGTGAATTCATCAATTTAATTTTTAACTCAGTGTAAGATAGCTGATTAAAATCGACAAAATTTTGTTAGATTTGATTGTAGAAGTTTTCCCTGGGGATTGAAAACTCTTTGGACAATGCAAGAGAAAACGACATTCTTCTTCAATTATACCAGAGTTACAAACAGGGCAGAATCTATCGTTGTGGGGAGTTTGATTATATCTTACAGTTTCAATCATGAGTTAGTGGTTACTTATACGAATTTCCGACTAGGTCTTTCCTATTGGTTGAATTTCTAGTTAAGTCTAGGTAACTTGATATTTTATAACAATGTTTAAATATGCTGTAAAATTGTAGTTTCGTTTAGAATGATGGATTCTAAGCGAATTAACTGCGACAACAACAATAATTGACTTAATTGATGTAAAGAGACAGGAAGCATAGATTTGAATCCATTTTAAAGGAGAGGGATAGCAACAACAACAACAATAATAATAATAATAATAATAATAATAATAATAATAATAATAGTATTCTGTAATAAAAGAGGGTAGCATCAAAACCCGCTATTACGAAGTGAATTAGGTTGGCCCACATTATTAGAAGTATAATAATATAAACGTTTTGAAAAAAGGATAGAACAAGAATTTTTAAAGCTTAAAAATCTAATAATACTATATTTCAGTGTTAATTTACATCAACAAACGAACAATAAAATCGGCTCCTGATTAAAACTATAGAGTATATTTCTGAACTTGTTTAGACTGTATAGCCTTTAATTGTCCACAGACAAGAAATTCCAAACAAATGCCCCTCTGTTTATTGAGAGGAACTTTGTCCTAAGCATGGACAGGATCCCTTTTACGCACCTGCTGTCGATCTGGTTTCAAACTGGTTAAGCCTCAAGGAAGTGTATAGTGTTGGAGGAAAGGAGAAAGAGATGAAAGGTTTCGTTCTCGCAACTTCAAGTTAGAGTGATTTTCGTATGACCTTGAAAAATGCTTTTGGTAAGTGTTCGTTATTTGTTTTATCAGCCAACGGATGAAGGGATGAAAAGATCAAAACATGGCCTCTTCGTTTTCAAAGAAAACCCTAATATGGAGAAGGCATTGTTCGATTGGCTAATCGTGTTGCAGTATGACGTCAAAGCGAAGTATCGGTTGATTTCTAGAAAGTTCTTGGGCATGACGTTTTTTCACCCGAGCGTTCGCTTAACCAACCAAAAGCCACACGCGTTTGTATCCGTTCGATACCAATCAAATCGCTCTATTTCCGTTCGTTTATTGCTTCTGTTTTGTTCGCGCGTTTTCATTTCAATGTCATACGAAAATCGCTCTACCGTCTTGAGACAAAGCCGAGACGGCAAAGCCAAGAATGAAGAAAAAATCGGAGTCGAATTTACCGTAATCAGAGTTGTAAGAGCTCTTATGACCGCCCAGCTAGTAAAAGTTAAAAAAAATGAAGGTTTCAGCATATTCATTAGCTTAACAGAGTCAGAAGCTTGAGAAAGCAGAACATTTCCATTTTCTTTCTTTTCTTGTTCGCTCATGATCGAAGAGCGTGGCTACCTGTACACAAGTAGGCGGGTGGTTTCCTGAAAAATGTCAATAAAAACCAAAAAGAATTAAAGAAAGAAAAAAACCAGGGGCACCCAACGACAGTTTTTGGAAAATATCTGTTCGGAAGACGATTTGAGATCTAGAATTTCGGAACATTTGTTGTTAAATTTCTTGCTTGCCCGCCTCTCCTAGGATTTTCGAAGCCCCCAAAAATGATATAATTGCCCATTTTAAACGGTTTTTTACCCTAAAAAGGTCACCTAGAATTTTCGGGAGCCTTTTTTCTGGCTGAAATTTTCGAAAAGGTAAGTTTTGATCCCTATAATTTTCGGATCACTAGACTTTCAGCTAGGAAATCCGAACAGATAAAAAATTTTTAGGGGATAAAAATATGGCTATATCTGCCGTCTAAATACTAAGATACGTTCAACAATGCTATGTTTGAGTGGTTTTGAACTATATTCTCGTTGGGTGCCCCTGAAAAACAACAGGGAAAAGAAACAGAAGAGAAACAAGCGAACAGGCTATAGCTAAAAAAAGCAGCAAGAAAAGATTACATCATTCTTAACCTGAGGCTCAACCTTAGGCTTAACCTCAGGCCCTGCCTCAGGCTATTTAAGCAGATCAACCCATTTATTGACTGCGCCAGGAAGACTATGAATACCTTTTCAGAAGAACACAAGCCACCTAGAAAAAACGTTGCCGCGGCAGAAAGTGCTTCGCTTTGTGAAACTCCAGAGCAAGAACCTCGAAAACAAACTTTGGTAGAATGTGGTTATTCTTTACGCAATTTCGCCACAATTCTGTTTGCCATTATGAGTGTGACAGGACAATTAGCTCAATACATTTCACTTCCATTGTGGGTAGACAGCACATCGCAGTCAACGATCACATCTACAGATCAAACGAATAAATGGAAACCAGCAATGGATAATTATTTTGTAGCGTCGTTTGCTAGTCTTTCGTTCTTAATCGTGTTTGGCTTTGTTGTGTTGTGCTGTAAAATTATTTACCCAAATTACTTGTCGGTTACAGACTGGAGCTATCGCTGTTTGCTTCTCGTAGTTGGTTCCATTCAAGGATTGAGCGCTCTGCTTGTTGTGTTTTCTTGCAGTGGGGAAAAAACACCTCCTTATTTGCAGGCAATTCTTGGAAACTTTAGCATTCCGATAACACTGTTGTTTCGGTAAGCATCGAGTATTATGGGTATTTTGTATGAGACACTGAGTGTCGACTCCCTCCCTAAACTTCCGGAGCTGGCTTCTTAAGGATGGTTTTTAACTGTGAAGAAGTCGGAGCCGGAGTTGTAATCAGAGTTTTAAGAGTGCTAATGACCTAGCTGGCAATAGTAAAAGATATGGAGTATTCAGGTGAGTCATAAGCTTGACAGAATAAGGATCGCGAGAATAAGAATATCTCCATTTTCCTCCGTCATCTCGACAATTGACTCCATCGCTCAAGATCCAACGGCGTGGTTACCTGTACGCCAGGCTAGAACGCACGTGCTTATCTGAAAAACAAAAACGAATGGAAAAACAAACGAATGAAAGACGAAGAAGGGAAACGATAGATCAGGAGATTGCTAAGCAAAAACAACAACAACAAAGAAAATCGGCTACATACCTTCGCCTCAACTGCTTTCAGACATTTTTCCAAAAAAATGCAGTATTTTCTTCGATTTTGCCACATGCTAAAGCCGTGATTGCTACCTGTTGAACATAATGCCTGGAGCAGGAGAGATAATTACGTCACAACCCCTGATGAAAAAGGAAATATAATCAAATTGCTGGCGAGATAAAATATTGGAAAACAAGGTAGACTGGATTTGGAAAAATGTGTTTGCCTCTGAAAAATTCGTAGCTACTCCTTTGTTCCGGAAAACCAGATTATAATGCAATGCAATAGTTTTTCTTTTAAAGGGGCTGTGTCACGGCAGTCCAGTTCATTTTGTTTTATTTTGCCAATTACTCGCCCTCAATCGCTACGGAACTGAAAGTAGGCAAAGAAATCACATGTAAATGACAAAATCAGAGATTAGAGACAAACAAATGTGTCCCCTAAGCATTATTTTTGAAGCTGTAAACAGCAGAGATAAACTTTGAAAAACTGTTAGGCTGAACAGTTTACAAAAACCCTAATTTCAATCCGTTTCAGTCTTCTTCAGTTTTGCCCATCCGTGGCAGCTGTTGTATCTGTTGTGTTATTTTAACCTTCCCTTAATGTTTTAAGCGGTTATTTTTATGTTTCTTTTAATTCAACGAGCATTTTATATAAACTGATGATTCTGTGGCCCTCTACAAAATAAATAAAAAAAAGAATCTACGGTAGAAGTCACAGTTAGATTGTTCAGGACTCACAAGCAAAATCAGAAGAATAAACCATCGCTTGTTCAAACGCTTCGTGATTGGTTTGGTTCTTTGGCTTCTGTTTCGCCTGCGAGCAAGCTCTCCGGGGCGCTCTGTTGCGGGGTCGTGAGAAGGCTACGTCTTTGCAATTTGAATATCTGCATCAAAATCGATGCGGAATGCTGATTGACGGAGATGACATTGGTAATGACGTCATTACCCTTTGCACGTGTTTTTCAATGTTTGTTTACATTCGCGCTCGTTTCATCTTCGCGCTGATTGGCGGAAATCTGACAGCTCAGACGACGGGGAGCCCCAGTGGAATTGGAGTTGGAATCCAAATTCCAGAGGCGAAGTAGCAAGCTCTCCTCCCGTTTTAATTTCCCGCCCCGCCGACAGAGCGCCCCGGAGGGCTTGCTCGCAGGCTAGCTTCTGTTTGACGGAGCTGTGTCATGAATTTATCAAAATTCTGTCAATTCTAACAGTGAGAACTTCCCCCAAATTGAGTCGAACATAAAAATAACTGATCAAAATATTATAAGAAGGCGTAAATAACCGAGCAAAATAAAACGAACGGGGCACGGTTGGACAAACTTTCACCCAACAAGATTAAAACGGGTTGCAATTGTGGGTTTTTGAAAACCTGTTAGCCGAACTTTGTGAGTGTGGTGTGAAAACCACCAACAAGCTAAATCATTGTTTGTTGTATTATGTAATCAATTGCTGGATATTTTTCTGTTTACGGTATCAGCTTATGGGAGCCGGAAGGTGGTGGTGAGAGGTCAGTGTTGAATACCCAGGAAAAGCTGATCTAACTGAAGTGATGCCATCATGCAAAAGACAGGCAATTTTCTTGTTCTTTATCGGTGTCTCACTTCGTTCTTTTGACGATATGCAACAGTTTGTTAAAATTTTACTTATTTCGATATTTAGCGATTTTCTGGGCTCTCCTACCTCTAACCATTATCATTTCTTTTTTCCAGATTTCTTCTTTTAAAGAAGATTCCCACGAGAAGAAAGCTTATATCTGCTGCTATTATTGTCCTGGGTCTTTTCATTTGTCTCATCCCAACAATGTTTCCATGGATAGACCCCGAGGCCTCAACAAGGCATGATTTGGGAGGGGAGACTGGACTGGCTAGAGTCCTCTGGCCTGTAACTTTCATGGTTGGACTTGTAAGTAAAACACTTTGAAGAATTATTTCTGGAATAAGCAGTACTTCATTATAATCCATCGAGAGGTCTTTGGAGACGCTTTCATGAATAAGTAAACAAACTAATAACTAAACAAATACAAATAAATAAATCATATATATGCAAATTAAAGGGGGCGATGATTCTCCTCACACCATTCCTGACTGAATAACAATTACTGGAATTTGGAAATGTTGGTTTGGAGGAGAGGGGAAACCGGAGCACCCTGAGAAAGCCTTTTGAAGCAAGGGTCGGAACCAAAACAAACACAGCCCACATGAAACCAGGGCACGGTAGGAATTCTTTTACATGTACCTATACAGTACCACCCTTACACTCCTTTCACGATTATTTTGCCAGTTAGAGGGGGTCATTGACAGTTATACTTTTACTTTTCTTTTTGGTTAGTGTAATTGGATTGGTTTCCCTTAGGCTTCCTCACCTTTAGCTTTTAAATATTTAGAACTTCTAGTTTTTGTACATCCTTCAAAAATGGCAAACCAATAAACTGAACCGAAGATATCTATTACAGTTACTCGAACCGGGGCACTTGGAAGAAGATTGTCCAATCACAACGATTTCTAAAGCAAAAGATTCTCTAGTTTTTTTTCAAACAGACCAATAAGAATCATAAATTTGAGGGTTGTTTCCTGAGAGGTCAGGTAAGTTCAAACGGTTTCAAAGTTTTCAATGCAACGGCTGTATAGTTGAATCTTGAATTTTATTGGACCATTTGCAAAAAAAAAAACTTGAGAATCTTTAAATCAAAAATCTTAGGGATATCAAGGGATTAGAAAATCTTCTTCCAAGTGGCCCGGTTTGAGTAGTCACACTGCTATAAATGTATTTTGCTGTTGCTGTTTTGTTTTTCCTTTGAAGGGAATTTCAGCTACCTCCTTTATTGTTGAAGAGAAAGCTGTTAAAATGAGAGGAAATGTTGGCCACAATATTTATTCTCAAGCTAGCTTATTGTCTGTTTTGTTCTGGACCTCATTATCACAATTTCTTGCTTTGTTGCTACTATTCTGGACTGACATTATTCCTGGCTTTGGACATACAAACAGCATACATGAATTCATTGGGAAGTAAGTGCTACTTTATATAACCAAAATAATAGCTGCAATCCTTGTAGCGTCGCGAAATATCGGCTGTTTTCTTAGGCTACAACTTTTCGACGCCATCTCGAAGAGCAGGCAAACGTGTGAGAAATTACAGTGCTTGTATGAGAATCTAATGTCGAATAATTTCCTTAGAACCGCTGTTCTGAAAAAAATATGAATTGTAAACTTATCCTTCACTCCTGAGGATTCTACTGAAAAATATTGAGGGCGTTACATGCGCTAGAAGACCTAGAACCACTTTTTAAAATTTTCTATACATTTGTCTATAAGAAAGTCCCAGGAAAAATTTTAGACAAATATATGGAAAATCTAAAGCAAGCCTACGGAGAAATTTAAGCACCGGTACGCCCCAAACGTTTTTTAGTACAATCCTTTGTTTTGTAGCTTTAGTTGACAAGTCATATTTTTTTTCAGAACAGCCGTTTTACGGAAATTATGTTTATCACCGCGGTTTGCATTTTGTTTCTTCTTAAGCCCAGATTGCCAAAAAATAAGAGTATTTGCGATCTACTTCTTTTCATTGTTTTCTATCACCTTATTTAATACTTTATAGCTGGACTTTTGGATTCCAGTGTGTGTTTGGAGGAGCAGGTTGTTCCCAATGGCCAGGTGGACTCGCATTTCTGTTTATCTCGGGTTACATCATGAAAGTCTGTGGCTCAGCTCTGCTTCTGCGCTACTCCGAGGGAGCAACCTTGTTAGCTATTGTGTTGGTGAGAGTACTTTACTCATGTTATTTTAGGCTAGCCATAATGCAATACATTGTTGTACGTGTACTATATCTTGAGCAATCAACGTGGCTTTAAGAAAATCTATTTTTTCGTATTGCTGGAAACAAATTCTTTGACCATTCTATAATCGCTTCAAAACAAGATAATATACATTCAACTCGCGCTTCGATCTGAAAACGAAATCGGTTGTATTTTTTCTATTTAGTGACTGACTAGCATGGATGTTGCTAAAGCGGGGAACAGGGAACGGGGAACGGAAGGATGAAAACTGGGAACAAAATGAAGTTGCTGATAAGACTAGGTTTCAAGTTAGGTTTTGTTTCCAATTTTTCATTTTCCCGTTCCCTATGCTCGTTCCCCGCTCCCCGCTCCCCGTTCCCCGTTTGAGTAACATCCCTCTAGCATGCACTGGACGAAAAAATGGATTCACTGTCAACGGAGTCGGGATTGGAGTCGTAAGCGGAGCCGTAAGAGCGGATATGACCTTCTGAACATCAAAAATGGGTGTCGCAAGCGGAGTCAAAAGGTCGACGGAATCGGAGTCGGAAGCAGAAGCGGAAGGACAAACCAGTCACAATGCAAGTTCCCACGCTTGGTTTAGTTCTTCCGCTTCTGCTCGCGACTCCGACGACCCAGTTTTCACTTGATCGTAAACGATGGAATCGTAAGCGGAACCAGAACGCTGTTTTCACTATACCGTAAAGTTCTACGCTTCTGATTGCGACTCCAACTCCGTCGCTAGTGAAAACCAGCCTCAAATTATTGGCAACATTTGCCTCCTCAACCGGCCGTGTTTTTTGGTATGGAAATGTGGCATTTACCATCTTTGCCCTAGATTTACTCCTAAGTTTCTACATTTTTGCAACATATTTTTCACATTATTGTAGCATTTGAGGAAAAAGAAGCTAAATCCTTCTTTTACCTAACTTTCATCATAATGGCCAGTTCGGCCTCTCCCTAAGTACGAAGCAGTCGCGGAATTTCCCAATTCAGTAATCATCCCCATTCCTAAACCACACGTGGAGGGTCAGGGGCTGCCCATGGTCTGGAATGTCACCCACGACCACTTCAGCATGCATAAAACTACCACAGCATATCCTCTTGCCGCAGTAAATCTTGTCATCATTAAGACCCGCCACCGCGCCGAGGTAAGAGGCGCCGCAGGGGAAGGAAGGTAGTACAGTGCAACCTCGTTATAATGAAGGACCAAGGAACTGGCAAAATATGTTCGCTGTAACGAGGTTTCGTTATATCGAGGCTCTTTTCCTTATGCAGTAGAACCTCGATGAAACGAACCTCTATATAACGCAGTCCACGGTATAGCGAACTATATTCTTCGCCCCAGTAATAGTAAAATATGAGGAAAAGAACCTTGATATAACAAAACCTTGTTATAGAGAACATATTTTGCCAATCTCTTGGTCCTTCGTTATATCGACGTTCTTTTGCTCATATTTCACTATTACTGGGGTGAAAAAAATCGTTCGTTGTACCAAGGACTGAGTTAAATGGAAGTTCGTTAAATCGAGGTTCCACTGTACTTTAAACCAACGAATACTTCTTTTAACTTCAGTCACTCTGTACCCCCTTGGGTTTTGTATTCTGGACGTTATTTCAGGAAAAACCTTTTCACTGGAACCCGACATTACACACAAGTACTTGGCTGAGTATTACTGCCTTGTTGATTATGGTTCCTGCCGCTTTTATTTACAACACAGGGTGCGTGTAAACACATGTCAGCTCAGCTGACCTGCTTAGTTAAATTTAGGCACCGAAAGTTTCAAAAAGGACCGTACCAAGGTTGTACCTTTAAGTAGTTTTGGTTTGGTAAGGTGGCTGAACACAGTTTTGCGGGCAGTCAGCGGTAACTTGCGTGACGGCGCGTGATTTACATTAGACGAACAAACATGGCGGCGAAAAAGCAATGGTACACAAAAGACGATTTCTCAAAATCTACTCTAAATTTTGTGATATTTGGCAGAATTTTTCCTTTTATCGTATTTTAAGTAATGAGAACTTTAAAATGGAAGTTGAACAGGCGAATTCTGTGACACATTTGACATTTAATAATTACAGTACAACTGATTAAATTATTGATTAACTGATGAAACCCGTCTTTTAAAATTAGGTCAAATAAGTTTGAAATGGTAATGATTAATTATAGTAAGCTGTGTGCAAGTGTATAGGAAAATCTAATGAGCGAATTTTGAGAAAAGGTGAAATTTTAAGGTTGTATTCAATCGTTTACGTGGTTTATATGATTTTTAGAGCACAGACCTTGAGTAAACTTTCTAGGTACGTAAAAAAATTTATAGTCACTTTAGTTAGACATTTACATGTACTACTTTGAGCGCGCGCTAAAATCCCGGGGGGGGTACTCGCAGAAAAATTGGGTAGGGGTGTGCGGTCCGCTTCCCAAAACCCTTACCCTATTTATGACCAAAATCTGCGATTTTCCCTACCCTATTTATGACCAAACCAAAAATTTGATACCCTATTTATGACCTGACCCTTAAATCAATACCCTGTTTCAGACCTGCCTCATAATTATTTCCCTAGTTCAGACCAATGTTAAAGGCAATGTTTATCTGCTTTTATTAGGTTAGGGGGACATTATAAGGAAGTAGCTTCTTCTAAAAAAGTGCATTCAAGACTACAGTGTAAAAATCGTTACCCTATTTATGACCAAAATGGCGGCAAAATAGCCAAAATCGATACCCAATTTATGACCAAAACGGCTGAAAAACCCTACCCTTTGGGGCCGCACATACCTATATAGCCCATATTAGGGAGTACCCCCCCCGGGGCTAAAATTATAAGTTCACTACTGCATTGATCCCTTTTATAATGTTACTAGAAATACGTGAATCATAGAAAGAAAGGGAAAGAAGCTGATACGGAAAAAAATATGTTTATACCGTTATATATTAAAAAACAAAACAAAACAAATAAGGAAACAAAACAAAAAAAAAAGGGTACGAAGTAGAATTCAAACCCGCACCTTAGGCCAGAGGCGACTTCACCTTACCACTTACGTACTACACTACTAAGGATGACCAGGTAATTCAGGTGTAAAAGCCATTAATTAAGGCTTTTTCGCTGGAACTTTCGCCGGCGAACGCCTTTCAGAGCCGTACTTAACACGAATTCAGAGGTATATTTCAGGAAAATAGCCAGGCTATTTACAGTAAAAAAAACCAATGTAAACGCATTTCATGGCAATGCAACTCGTCTGCAACTGCGTAGGACGCAAATGTTTTCTTACCTCGATTTTTTTTCTTACCTTCGCTCGCAGCGGGGCCGCTCGCTTCGCGAGAATAAAACAATTAGTTCATGCTTCAGCAGTGCGTATGTCGAAATACTGAACATTTGGAAGGTTTGGAGAGTTCAAAAGGCTAGCTAGTTGCTCTAGGCTGCGCCTCGAGCAACTCTTACGTGCTCTCCAAACTTCCCGCGTGCCCAATATCTCGACATACGCACTGCTTAAGCATTAACTAATTGTTAAATATTGACCTTCTTTACCTTTCATCATCAAATTCTTTTCCTATGAAGGTTTATTAGTCTGGAAGAGCACTAAAAATATTACTATTTTTTTTTTTTACACAGAACACCCGAGAAAGAAAGACAAAGACAAGAAGTTACCCCTACTAATCATTGAAAGAAGTTTACAATACCCTTAGTTGCTGACAATTACAATCGACACAGCCACCTCTCTACAACGGCCGCCTCTCCACAACGGCAACTTTCTTCTGTACCCAAGGTGGCCTTTGTGGAGAGGTTCGACTGTAATTCAATTCTAAACTTGGTTTCTATTCAGAACTACCATGGAGCTATTTTCTGACTTAAAGTAAATAAAGCCGATTTATTATTAGTGTTTTTCACTTACAATGGGTTACCCCAGAAAAAATCCACACCCCCAAGATGGAATGCATGCTGGAAAATTTCACGGACGGGGTGGGAAGGGGCTGACGGCTCTTAAAATCCAGATGGGAGGGGGGTTCTGAACCTATAAAATACATCCTCGGGAGTTACTTTCGATTTAATCGATGTTACAATTGCTTAAGTTTTCAAGACAAAATGCTTTGCGTTTTCAAATTTTATTATTCTTTCAAACTACAGACCTCTCACCACATTTCTTTTAAGTTTCCATGCATAGGCTCGCCTTCGTTACATTTCTAGAAGCCAGAAGGGTTATGGGCTCCTGTAGAAGCGACGTGCGATAACTTGAAGTTATCGAGAAAAATCGCATAATTCACAAAACATCGTTCAATTGAAGTAGAGTAAACAATGATTTCTACCTTAAGTTAAACATTTTCTAAAGGTTAATGCTATTTCAGGTTGATTTGCCAATAACACGCCTTACAAGACAGCTGAAACGTTTGATTATTGCTCTTAGTGATCGTTCGGAGGCCATTGTGAATGGCAAGTGGTTTGGTCAGCGGAATAGCGCGTCATGTTAAATCCCACCAAGTAATAATAATGGCGCAGATCAGCTGACAGCTTCCTTACCTGGTCTGCTATCGAAAAACAAGAAAATGAAAAAAATGTGCGTTATCCCGAGGCCTGCAGTGGTTTTTCACTTCGCGGCAGTCGAGTTGTGGAATTAAATGTCCTGGCTGAGGCTTTGGATGGGGGCTGTGAAGCATGTTGGATATGGTGTTGAATCCCCGCCAAAAATCAACGTGAGCACTCGACATTCAACTTGAGCGGCTAACATTAAGTTGTAGCAACCAACTTTCAACTCGTCGTTTCAACATTCAAAGTCAATAATTCAACTCAAACACTCAACATTTAACATGATCACCGTTCTTGAAAATTGAGCGCGCAGCATTCTACTTACTTACTCAACATGAAAGTGGAGCAACCAATTTTGTCAAGCATTATTGCGCAAAAGCAAAAAAAAAAAAAATCGAAACCCCAGTAGCTAGCACTGGAACACAGAACGCCAGCGCTACAAAATAGTCCAAAATAAAGATTGATAACTCCAAAATCTCATCAAACTTGACTTACCCCCGGTGGCGGAGCTATTTCTGTGACCTGTGATGAGGCGAAGCTGCGCCGCACAGATCTGTGAAGCGTCACACATCGGAAAGGGTTTTGTGCTATACGTTGGCGCAGTGTGAACTCCTATTCGGCCACTTCGCGGAAGGAAATGAGTAGAAGCTAGGACTGGGATCCACTGAGACAAAAGTAATATTTAGGAGTGTGAACTGGAACTAGTGCACCATACCCTCTCGGTCAACAGCGCCAGCACGACGTTCAAGGTGCGTGAACGACTTGTGTACTGCCCCAGGCCGTTGCTGACTATAACGGGTAGCGCCACGAAAAGCTGTCCGGTATAGTTTGATCATAGCCTGAGCCTAGACCGTGACCACACCACCCTCCCTTCCCTTTTATCTTAAGGTCTTGGTCAGCGACCCCCATCATCAATAGGCTGATTTAGCAACAGGACGGGAACGTCAGTTGACGACGGGAAAGCGCGCGGAAAGGACTAAACTCGACTTCCGGTGCCCAATTTGTCGCTCTGCCATTGGTCAAGCCAGTTGTTTGATTTGCGCGCGCCGTCGTCAACTGACGTTCCGATTCTGTTACTAAATCAGCCTAATGTTGCCGTTAACAATCCGTCGCTAAATTCTATAACACCACCAACCTCTTCCCCATGGTTCTCCTGGAACCCTGGTTGCGGCTGGTCACGTGGTTCCCAAAATCTGGGAGAAAAAATTAAGGGAGGAGAAGAAGAGTAAACAATTGCCGCTATGACAAAAATTACTCTGTCGGGGCCCGAGAGGAGTTTGCCGCCTTGTTTATTATTAGCTGATGGCGCAGGTCCTTGATAATGTCAACAACACCCGAAAAAAATAGTATTGCATAATGCAAGCTCCTCATGTATAGACCGGAAACACTGCAGAAATATTTTCCAGGAGCGAAATTTATTTTTTCTTTCCCCGGTGGGAGAAATTGGTGGCAGCCCGCTACCCGAACTTGAAACTTTTTCAAAGCTTTTATGAGACCATGCGAGAGACGTCTAAGAAACTACAAGAATTTCCAACAAGTTATTCGACAAATTCAAGCTAGGATTGAAATGCACTTTAAAAGAAAGGTTGAAATATCACCTTCTTCTCCAGTGACAGTCAAGAGTGCAAAATCAAGTTCAAATGAGAGAAGTTGCTTTGCCTCCAAAATTATGTTATCGTAACTAGCCGAAAGCAACGCAGTTTGCTGGCAAAACCAGTTTTGAAGGAAGAATTTTCTCCCCACCCCAGATAGTATTTCATCGTCCAGTCGACAAAATTTAGAGGGGACCTACCCCCGCCGCGCAATTTATTGACCTACATTTCTTTCAGTTCTTTCTCGAAGAGAGAGGACCCTGAGAACGAGGTTGTAACACCACAGGCGTCCCAAACTCAATATGTGAGCGCATGTTAATGCGTAAAAGTCTACTCAATGTCTACTTTAGACCTTATTATGAAGCTGATGACAGAATAGCAAACTAGTCCACATCGCTTTAAAACCACACAGGAACACAAAATACTGCAGAAGTAAAGATATTCATTCATTCTTTGCAACACGATAAGCTAAGATAAGGCGATATTTTTTTCGATTTTATATTTTTCTGATATAAAGACTATAAAACGGTAAGTTACGCAATAAGAGCAGAAGTGTTATTTTTTAAAAAATGCCCTCAAGAAGGCTGCGATACTGACACTACAAGTATTAAAAGCAACAGCAAAACAATGCGTGAAGTAAATAGAAGATACCTGACTCTTTTTTCAAAGACATAGATTTATTCTTTAAGTCAACCTAACTAAGAGTCATACGAGCACGTATGCGGCTTAAGTGAAAAACATAATGATATAATAAATAAATGAACTATACTGATGCGAGTAGAGATTGGAATCTACCACGTTAACTAAGTTACTGTTTTCACCTTTCAGAAGAGTTCTGCGCTAGTAGAATGTTGAAAAATGCTTGATATTGTTACATTTCCTATACTGCAATGTATAAGATTTAAAAAAAACAACAACAACAACAGGTATAAGCTGAAAAAACGATATAAAAAACTGACAAAAGTGGAAAACCCTTTGTTATAGGACTGCGCGTGCGTTATATTGGGTTGGTGATATTATATTCAGTCCGTAATAAGAATTTCTTTCCTACCTAAAATAATAGATAGTATAATACACCTTACATTATCACTACAGTAGAATCCCGATTTCTCGAACCCTTGTTCGAAATTCCCATAATTCGAACCAAACCTGATTTCGGTCCCCTAAGAAGTCAAACCCTGTCATTTTATCCCCGATTTTTCAAACCTCCCGATAATTCAAACCAAAAAGCAAAACAAAATACGGGACTCAGGGGCCATGATACTCCGGATTTCAAGTGACAGGGATGATAGAAGGGTTTTTCTTGGGTTTGAAATTTTCGTTTCGGGATTTTTTGGGGTAGGAAAATTTTGGCAAGTATTTTTTGGGTAGCTTGATTTAAGCAGGGATTTTTTTGGATACTGTCAAAACTTATGTTTCTATTTTTCGTGTTTTATCATTTAACGCTTTCTGGATATTTTTATGGCTCGGAAATTCGGCATGGGATTTTTGGGGGTTTTGATGGAAGCCCTAGGGATTTTTCTGGTTTTTGACTTTGTCCCCCATTCGATCACTCCTGTCACCTGAGATCCGGAGTATACCCCCCCCCCCCCGCCCCCGGGACACGGGATTCCACTGTATATCACTGTATATCATTCTACATCGAGAACGATAAGTCTCTTTGAACCGATGATCGTTAGAACAAAAATAAATAATTGACTAGAATTAAAGTGTCCAAAGAAGTACGGCAGATTCTCTACTAAGTCGTCCCTATTTCATAATCTCCCTTATGAACCCTTTCTATTATAATGAAGAAGGTTATAAAGCCCTCTCCATATCAATCGCTGCCGCCATTTTTATTGTTACAATTCAACTCTTTTACGACAGACTATTCTAGATTGTATGAAAGTGGAAATGATCCTATCGGTTGAATAAATAACCTAAGAGGTTAATATATTATGCCGGATATATTCACTAGAGTGAGGGATAGAGTGTGTTAGATATATTGCTAAAGTTTGTTGTAAAGTATGTAATTGCCCGTTTCCAGTACGCAAATGGAATACCACAAGAGAGTTTAAGCAATTCTTCTCTCTATTTAACCTGTCAAATGTATTTAAAATAAATAGTTCCCAGAGGCGAGGGCTGAGCCAAACTTTTACAAGATAAACGACATATATTTCACAGCAAACATTGAACATAAAAAAGCCTCATTTAACTTATGAACGCTATAAGTTTGTTGCGGTTGAAGGGGGAAACATGATAAAAATGAAGATTTCAAAACTTTTTTAGCCCGTTAGCAAATAGAGAGCAAAGCAACCAAGACGGCAACAGCGGCTAAAACATCACTTGAATTTGCCCTTTTACAAAATTCATAGCTCTTATTCTATCTTATTCACTTTCTCAAATGAGGCCGATTTTTTTCTGGAGTTGAATTCTAAAGGACGTATGCAAGTTCAGAAAAAGATAAAGGAAACAGTGATCTTTTATTTGTCCACTGACATTCTCCATAAAACGCCCAGTTAGGATCGTCGCCATTTCGCCGTCACTGTCGTCATTGCGTAAGCTCGCTATTAAGACTCGACTAAGTGCTGGACCGCACCTTTTCCCGCCACTTTTCTGCATATTTCCTGCCAAACCCTCGAGCCAAGCAGCCAGCGGAAGCTTCCCCAGAGCGTGCGCTTATAACTTGCTTTCTTTATCACATACAGTGTGCATGGCTTGGGATGCCTTGCCCCTTTTTTCTCCACTGGTTCGTTAACGAAACCCTAACATTGGCGGTGGTGTTTTAGTCTTTTCATAACCTGATGAGAGAGCAATAATACATGCTCATGTACGGTATTTTAAATTTTCGTGGTCAAGATAAAATAAAATTGGTTATGCTTAGCGAAGCAGTAAATATCGAATTTATTTCATTTTTAATGTTTAGTTTTTTTATCATGATTTTGACTAGGGGCAGAATTGGATCACATCGAAAAGATTGTTATAAATTCAAAATAAATTGAGAAAAACAAAGTGATAGTTTTGATGTTTTAGATTGTAAAATATAGTAAACCATCATAGGATTATTTATCAACAAGTCAGAAAAAGAAAATCCATTCAAGTGCAGCTGTCTTTTTGCAACACGCGAGACAACGCGTAATATTTCGAAAGCACAAAAAGCGGGGATTGTTAAACAGTTAACCAGCACAATTATAGTTTTTCACCGTTTTGCCTTAGAATGAAATATTATAATTAGCTAAAACTCCGCAGAGGACAAAACGTCAGTAACAACATAGTCCAGAATGAATCCAAAAAATAAGGTCACAGAGGCTCCTGGGCTAAGCAGAATGATACAGCACCGTTACAAGATGCTAGGCCCTACCTTTATTCCTACTGCAGCCGTATACTTCCACTCTCATGCATATATTGTTGAATGTTCTAGGGTAAAACCGCACAAACCTAGCTTGAATTGGACGGATTAATTTGTTCACCACAGGTGTAAAATTATCGCAGTTTCCAGGTAAAACCTACAAAACAGACGTATTCAGGTTAGGAAGATTCCCATTTTCATATTCAGGCTCTCTCTTCTTCCTGTCCTCTCTCACCAAAAGGGGATAATGGGGCATTGTCACATTATGTTCTCTTTGTTACTATTAAAAGACTTCGCGCTTTTTCAAACTTTGACACGATGGTCCAACTCTCTAAGAATGCCAAATGACGATAATTTCCTTCGAACTGAATTCTTGCTCTGAACCCAAGTTTAGATCAAGAAAGAACAATTTGTCGTACGTCATAATCACGTACTTAAGTCCTCCATGAAACGTCACACAAGAGAACAAATTTCTAGTCGTGGCCGTAGATCGGATCGGAGAGATGGTAAAGAAATGTACCAAAAATGGTAAGCTTGACGTGCAGGGCTTATTAATTGGACGTTCTCGTTGCAGTCGCCGTTGTCATTGCTAAAGCTCACTGATGTCTCGCCCTAGGAAAAGCCCTCCACGCCGTCTAGACTAAAGTTGATAAAATTAATACGGTGAGCGCTAACTCGTTGGCAAACTTAATCGGTGGTTTTCAGCCAACGGGGAAGTGAATTATTATAAGAAAAGGTCTTTTGAATGAATAATAGCATATACTGAATTAGGCTTAAAAAGAAAAAAAGTCAAAACATAGGACACTGCTTACTTGCTGTCTACTAACCGAGCTACCCAGAGGACTTTAGTAATGGGAGTTGCTATCTTACAAATCAGATGATCATCATCTTACCCTGAATCGTCCATCCTCTTTGTACTTGTTCCAACGCTGTCCGTCTTTACTGAATGCCAATTCATATGACTTTACATGCTCAAAATATTTATCGCGACCTGCCAGATGAAAAAAATACCGGTAAAATAGTAACTGTTAGGGTGATTAAACGATCAGAAACTAATTTAAAAGCTTCTCAAGAAAGTGACTATGTAAATGCTAAATGTCAAACCTTCCTTTGTTCGTTCACTATTCGTCACAGTGTTCATTCACCATTTTCACCTTGTTTACCCCCCAAAATTTTGCATAAGTTTTTAACCATGGTTTCTAGTTTCTCCTGGGTATTACAGTCGTCCCAAGAGAAATCGAAGACAATGCTAATGTTATCCTACTACTTTTTTGCCATTCTCGTTGCCGTCGCCGTCGCCACTGTTGTGATCCAGAAATTTTGCCACCATGGTAACATGACGTCACATTTCTCCTCTCTATTCAGTGTCTATTATAACTTCATAACGAAATCGTTGTCCCCCATTTTGAATTATCAAATTGTAAACAGCATTTCATATTCATATTCATATTCAATATTCAAAACTGGATGACAGGCTGACGAGAATTAAAAAAGGGTCCTATAGAGAGGGTTCAGAGCCACCTTAATTTCAGTAAGTTAAAAGTGATTCTAAACTAGTTCTCTTAACCACACGTGGGGAGCATCTTAACCTTGTGTGGCAACAGCAGTAACAAACTTTATCTTTCCCAGATCAACTTGCAGCCAATGACCGTTCTGTTTGTCTTTAGCGCACCATCCTCCAATTCTCTTCTGATATCGATTGTCTTGTTTGTAAAGTCGTGCATTGTAAGCACCAAAGTCCCATCCGCCTGTAACCGGAAGTAAAAGCACAATTTGTCAAAGAGGGAAGGATAGAGGGAAGGATGGAGGGTCTACCTTTTGTAGTAATAGCGGTGCCAGTTGTCTTAGTGATAAAGCGTTAAGAAATCGTGGCGAAGTATATCGAAATCAAATCAGCCGCTGAAAATACAGTGAAACCGGTTTTTCGAACACCTTGGGAAAGGCAAATTGGTTTAACTTTTCCGGAGGTTTGAAAAAATCGGGAGCATTCGCAAAATTAACGTGTTTCACTGGTGAAAGGAAGTTAGGTTTGATCCGAATTATGGGGAATATCGAAAAACCGAGGGTTTGAGGAATTGGATTCCATTCAGTAGAATCCTAATTCCTCGAACCCTCGCACCCTTGTTGCGACTGTTACCCTTCGTCTGGACGAAAAAAGCACTGACGAAAGAGTTGACCCTCGAAACCTAATCTTTGAACGAGTTTTACACCTGGTTTGTCCACAAGTGCTTTGTCTTGGGAAGTCAAGCCAAATAATCTTTAGATATTTAGCTCCGCTCTAAAACCAACAGGGCGTATGTGAAGCAGTTCGACATTGCAATTTTCGATTTCGTTATTTAAATGCCTTGATGGGTTGCCTGATCCATCCTTAATATATCAACTGTGCCTCAACGCTGACCTGTCAACAAACTTGAAGATGCTTTGAATGCACTGTCCGGAAGAGTAAAATTCCATCCAACACCCAGAGGCTCTGAACAGGTCCCTGGAAAAGAGAAGGCAAATTAAAGCAAAGAAACAGATTTAAAGAATTAGTTATTTGAGTAATTTTACAATCTCGCCTCTTCCCCCCGCACCTGCCAAATAAAATATGATTGACATTATTAGTTTCAATTGCTCAAAAGGAGGATAGCGCTATCCAACTGGATACTGTGGCGATCCACTAAAGAGGTCTTTAGGAAACTAGTATTGCTGAGAATCGCCAGATAAATTTAATAGTGTTTTGAAAGTGGTCAAAAATTAGGTTTTTTCTTTTGTTTATTGAAATAATTGATTTTCGTGCTATTGAATTTCTTTACGACAAAAGCTCTTCCCTTCCTGTTATTCTAATCGCGGTAAATCATTCCTCTACCTTATCTTGTCTTAAACAGGGCAGCGAAATGAGCAGTTTCTGTCTTAAACATGCTCAGGGTTTGAAGGGCTCGGCGGCAAGTCCCAACTCAAACTTGCCTTAATTGTCACTTCACCCCGGGGAGTCTTATCTGAGCTCTGTTTGAGATTCAGTCAGTGTTCTCACCTTCTGGTCTGACTTCTTCTTCATCACATCCCAGAGCTAAACATGTTCTAATACACCGTCTTCTCCATTTCGTGGTACACTGGCCACGCTCAAGAAACTTCTTACAAGGATCATCACACTTAATACCTACAAGATGAAGACGCAAATAGCTCCCTGAGGTTCATAAACCTCATTAAGGGGCACCTTAGGTTAAAGGCAAGCAGCACGCTGGCCCAGCATCAAAAAACGTTCGAACTTTAAAACGTTTATGATCGCTTGTCTTGTTCGTTTTTCATACATATCATAGCTTTCCTCTTACGTCCTCTTAGAAGGTCTAAAATTCGACAAGTCGCTTTCTAAGGACACTTGTCTTGGTTTCGCAGTCCGAACGCATCAAACGTCTAATTACTTTATACCTATGCACTCAAGTCTCTTTTCACTAAGTTCTCAATACCTTTTGGTTGGGCTGGTTGAATCTTGACAGGTTCTAGAGAAGAGAAAAGACAAATAAATAAATAATAGAAATACATTTGCAAATCAGGAGTGCAGTAAGGAAATATATTATGATGACTGCGAGATCGTGCCAGATGGGAAGACGCAATAATTCATTGTCTCCAAACAAACGATCCTCTTTTTAAGTAAAACCTATTGACGTCGTGTTTTACCACAATAAGTACGTTTTTGGAAAACTTGTGTGTAATGTTAGTCTCCCCGCAGCCGTTTCTGTCTGTTTTGTTTTGTTTTGCAAGCTTTTCTGGACACAGGCCTGCCCAGAGGGAATAGGCACGAACGGGCCTCATAGGTCCCATGCAAGGTGCCATCCCTACCCAATCCCACAACCCGTAGAGGATGGCCACACCACCGGGATCTACGTCCCCTACTCTTTTCCAACAGTTGTGTGGGTTCTTTTACGTCCCACAAGAACAGATCAGTGAAAGTGCTGTGCGACGGGACCTACGGTTTTTCGTCCTTATCCGAGAAGACTAGAAAGTCTAACCATTTGCAGATGTCATTACAAAGGCAGCACTTTCTTCTCAGTTATTTAAAGACCCTAAGTGTTGGTCCGGCCGGGGTTTGAATCCGTGACCTCCCGCTCAGCGGGCCGGCGCTCTCCCAACTGAGCTTACCAGGCGGCGGTTTTGTCATGCTCCTAATGGCTGCGAGGGAGACTAGTGTAGTCTTGATTTTTGGATGAAATATCGGTTGTCTTGAAGTAATAATAAAGCTTTTAATGACTGTGCTGAGAGCCCCTTCACCAGTTTCCTCACACTTCTACGCGAATAAATGAACATCCAGGAAAAAAATAGCTATTTAATAAAGGACTTTGGCTTCCCTCAGAAATGCCTTTAATTTGATTTTTTCTTTAAGGCGCAAGACGGTAAGGCAATTTGTGACGATTTACCGGCAAAAAGAAAAAATCGGCATATCCTTTCACCCAAGACACCAAGAAACTGCATGAACTCGTTCTAAGTAAAGTGTAGTACTGAGATACTATAAAATGCAGGAAATGTTTTTAACTAATATCAGTAAAAATGGGTGCGCTGGGATTAAGGTAGAAAGTTACAGACATCTCTACAAAACAGAAAAACCTCCCTAAAATGAGACACCCCGCTTCCCTTCTTTGTTCGTTCATTTCCTTTGACTCGTCTCCCTATAACGCGGATAACTCTCCAAGATAGAAACTAGGTGCCGATCCTAACGGTGCCCTTTAGAGAGAGTTGTGAGTTGCCTTTCTAACTAAGTAGTCCTAGTAATGCTTTAGTGTCTATCCCTCTTAAAAGTATTCTCTTTCGATCTCTAGGACTACTGAAGTTACCTTTGGGACATGAATTACAGGCATGCTGACACTTGTCAAGCATGAAAAGGCCTCTGCTTTGACAGTAGCCAAGACCTGCCCAATGTTCACAGTTAGCATCATCCATCTTGTTCTTGCATGGCTGCGCTTGTGTATTTTCTGCAAGCAAAAAAAAATTGGCAAACTGAGAAGATTATACATCAGGCCCCAGTTGTTCGAAAGCTGGATAGAGCTATCCATCGGATAAATCTCTTTCCAGTGGATAAGTGTTAGCGAAACCAAATGCACTATCAACTGGATAGAGATTTATACGGTGGATCATAGCGCTATCCAGCTTTTGAACAACCGGGGCCAGTTAAAAATAGGCTAACTTCTAGCCTTGTGTATTCTGTTCTCATGGTGTTCTTATTTGTACATCATATGAAAAGGAGGAGGGAGTCATGTTTTCAACTATAAGGTACTACGAATGTGAAACAGGGTTTCACATAGAAAATTTCGTCCTGTTATCTTGATTTGCAATTCGTAAAAATAAACTGTTGTGGTAATTAATCGATTTCCAAAGCTGGTGCACATCAATGATCTTCTTTGTTTTCTCTTTATGAATTATTATCACAAACTTGTTAACAAGCCACTATGCTTACTAACAAGAGCTAGAGAAAGTTTGGGAAAAGAGGACTGGTATGCATGCACTGACGCCACCGGTGGTTTCCCCGCGAAATGACGTCTGAGTCGAGAAACGAGCGCCGAAATTCCATACTGATGACAAATGACTACCGAAATCTGGGTACTGTTTCTGATTGGATAAAGCAAAATTTCAAACCAATCAGAAGCACTACCCAGATCCGGGTCAGCCTGGAATATCTGTGCTCGTTTCTCAGAAGTCATTTCGCGTGGAAAACACCGGTGGCTTCGCGAAATATATATAGACTGTTTTCTCAGACAAAGAAAAACCCTTTTTGCGTAGATATAGCTTAAAAAGAAGGGAGAAAGGCGGAACCTTTCTTCCCCTCCCCCCCACCCCCTATACTAAAAGAGCCTAAAACGAAGGCTATGGATCAACAGGTGTCAATACCCAATTTTCCTTATAGTTTTGGAGGAAAGGAATGTTTACAGATAGAGCGGTTTTATCGGTTTAGGTGATGTTAGGAGCAGTTAATTTCTTACTTGGGTAGCAAGCTTCACAACTAAGCGGGCATTTCTTGTACATGAAGTTGGAATATATGTCACAGTAGCCAGCCTCGGTCCATTCAGAGCACTTTTTATGTTTGTCAATGCACTCATCGTCTTTGTAACGAGGAGAACCTACGAAGATTACAGCGGGGTATACAGTAAGCATGGCTCGTCTCTCAGTGTCAAGAAACCTTTTGCACAACTGAGTAATAAAAGCCGGTACCAAATCATCATCATCCGGCAACGTCGGTCGGGATGCTCTGAACAATGATCTATTCCACCCATTCCGGTTCAACATCGCGTTCGCTAAATCCATCAAGATTAATTATCTAGGAATTAGATCTAGGTTTGTTGTTGGTTCTCTCCCTGGCTCCGAGAGGTTTTTCTCCGGGTACTCCGGTTTTCCCCTCTCCTTAAAAACCAACACTTTCAAATTCCAATTCGATCTGGAACGCACGGACACGTTTCAATGAGTTCTTATGGACTCCTTAGTGATACGTGGGTAAACAAATTACAATTTACAATTACAATTTAGGAATGTCATTTTCCTTGCATTTTGATCAGGGCCACTTGATTTCCAAAGAAGAAGGGATTGAACGATCTAAACAGATTTTCCTCAAATATATGTGAACGTCTTGACTGATCTCACTCTTTTCAACTTCAATTTAAAATGTACTAAATGTAAAATCATTAGGAGCGTAAGTAGCAGGTGCAAAAGAAATATTGAGCGTTAGATAAGCGATGGACATGAGGACATGCGCATTAGATACATGAGGGATAAACGCCGTATTCATAAATGGCGGCGGCGCGGAACGGTCTGTTTTCGAATTCACAAAAACGAGGCTTGGTAAGAGCGGTGGCCGCGAGAGAGGATGACGTGCTTGTCCTCTCTCGCGCTCATCCCGTCTGCTACGCGGGCTAAAAGGAGTATAATAAAGGAGTACCGTAAAATTCCGAAAATAAGCCCCTCCAAATATAAGCCCCCCAAACAGGTAACGCAAAAAATCCTCCGTTAAATCGCCCCTCCAAATATAAGCCCCTCGGGGGCTTGTACTTGGAAAATTACCCTCAAATACAAAGTAAAACAAAGCAAAAACGGTAAATTTGCTTCCAACTATAAGGCTAGCCCAATCGATTTAGAAACGCAAATTACCATACGTAAATAAGCCCCTCCGAATATAAGCCCCTCTAAAAGGGCCTTTGAAAAATATAAGCCCCGGGGCTTATTTTCAGAATTTTACGGTATTCTACTTTGAATGCCTTACTGATTTCATATATTCCATGTTCACAAATATTGCAGCTGCGAGGGCAGTTTGACGTCATGTAAAGTGCCTTGATGTGACAGTGACCACGTGCCGCCCAGTATTTACAGAATCTGTGTTTGTCTGTACACGGTGGAGGCATTGCTAATGAAAAAGAAATATAAAACAAGTAGGGAGCTTTAGCAACGACGACGGCGACGGCAAAGAGGACGTCAAAAAGCAATAGGTTTATTACGCAAAACAACAACTTTGCACGTGCATCACGCTTTTTCGTACTTTTCTTTACCGTCCTTGCACGACTACGACGTGAAAATGTCTAATTGCGAGTTTTATGGAGGACGTAAACAAGCGACGACGAATCTCTTTTTCTCTCTCTGAACTCAAGAAATCAACTCTAGGGAGATTCGCCTACAATGCCATTTTCAGCAAATCGGAATAAACGCGACAAAGATTGAAAAAACGGGAATTCGTTTTAAAACTGACGTTTTCGCTGCAGTTGCCGTCGTCGATGCTAAAGCTCCCAAATATCTGTATTGATATCTTTCATAGTAGCAAACGAGTCGACGACGATTAAATTTCAAGTCCGCTATGTCCCTAGACTTCTTATTCTTTCCATTGGTTGAATCGCAATCGCACTCAGTATCGTACTGAAAATCGTGTGTATCTCCGCGCCCACATAATAATATATATAAAAGCTAGGAAAGAGTCTTAGTTCGTGAAATCTCCACCAATTCTCCTGCTGGATCCCCGAAAAAAGTTCAGTTGCATAATATCTCACAGTAAACCTGGATGCCTTAAAGAATTTCATCTACAAATATGCACTCAGATTTTCGAAAATTATTTTTTCGTTGGAAGGCATTGATAATTTCGTTCCCTGTCAAATTCAGAATTACAATCTCAAACTCTGAGTCATTTGTTACCGCGGAATAAATAGACTCACACGACTGTGCTTCTAAAGAAAATGACTTTAATTTGGAATGTGAGTGAATGTTATCCTCAGGCCGGCTGCAAATTCCAGTTCCCTCAAATATTGGAGGGTCTCGGGAATTTCGACAGTTATACCTGTTCTACGGTCAAAATAGATTCGATTCAGTCATATACATTTTTCATTCCTTTTTAAAATAAATGTAAAGCAATGTTTTTTGAAATTTACCGACCAAAATTTATGTTTGAATTGACGGCAATAACACGTTCTTGTCTTTAACTTGGGAATTCAAGTAAGGAATGAGCCAGCTGAAGCCCTACATATACCATATTACACCGGGCAGTTTTTTTTTTAATTAACCCTTTAAGCACCAATATCCACATACAAATTCTCCAAACTGATCTCAATACATTTCCGTAAAGAATACGTTCAGAGAATATCATAAAAAATCAAGGCATTTTCTCTTTGGTGATTATTTCATTAATTCTCACAACCTTATCTCTTGACAATGTATGGATATTGTTAGGAGAAAATTTATGTTTGTCAGTATTTGGACTTAAAGGATTAACAAAAACTCACCAGGGTTCCTTTGGCATAGGTCACAGGTTCTCTTGCAGTTGAATGACATGTACCTCCTCTTTCTCTCTAATTCACAATGTCCTTGCTTTTTCATTTCTTCGCAGTCAATGTCATTATCTAAACACTTTTCTCCTAAGGAAACAATGCGCGACTGTAAGGCTTAAGAGAATAAAAAGAACTATTGAGTGCAGTCGCGAAACATCGCTGAAAGAAATTTAGGGGTTCCAATTGATTACAATGCGAAACGCTGAGATCTTTTGCTGGAATTCAAGTATAACTCTGTTTTATATGAGGCGTTTTTCAGTCAAGACCTGGCTCAAGATCAGGGGCTTCGTTTAAGTGCAGCTTATTAGGTACAGTAGGATAACATAAAACTGGGCATGAAGACTGATGAAGGCGTGAAGGCGATGATGTTAGCTTACGGGAGGGGCAGGAGGGGAGTTTCCCAGAAACGTATAAGGATCCATGCAAGATCATCAGGGCGCAAGAGGATGAGAGGTGAGAGATGATTCATTAAAGATCCTATGAAACTGAGTTTCAGAATCAGTCCATCCTACAAGAGCTAAAATCTCGTGCCTCGACTGAAGCTACACGCAAGCTACTTGGGGGGGCCTTATTCTATAACTCTGACTTTCTATTGTAACAACAATACTGAAATATCACACAGGTGTAAATACCACGTACTTATGTACTCAGGATTGATGGAGGAACACAGATTACAGCTACGCTTGCAGTACTCGCTCATAAATCGTTCTCTTGTGTTGGAGGAACAGTAACCTAGCCTGGACCAACCGAAGCACATCGGGAAGGTATCTACACAAGGAAGCCGCCTGGGCGGTCTTGGATCGCCTTCTGTTTGCTTAATTTTACCTTGGATCGAAACAAGACCACGACAATGTTAATTATGGACCATTCCATTTAATATCCACACACTCCCTATGGATGAGATTTTCCGCGGGGGGCCTTGAAACTTATTTTTGAGGGGTGGCTGTGTCGGCACTCTTTGATCTTTTTCTTTCTCTTGGGGGTAAAAGTCAACTTATGTCATCCATAGGAGAGGGCGAGGGGTGTGGCTATTAAAAAGAATGACCCCAATCTTTTGGGTTCATTAGCCAAGAGACTGAACCATGTGAAGGCCAAACAAGCCATCTCACCGGGGGAGGGGAAGGGGCTGGTATATTTTTAACGGTCAACATTTTCACGACTAACGATTGAAATTTTCCACTTTTTGGCCTTTTTAAGGCTCAATTGTCAAACCCCTTTGAGACTCATAGGTTTGTTTAAGAAGCTGAAAACTCGTTTAAGATGTACAAAAAGTTATGTAACAAAAGTTTCAAGGTACAAATATGTATCACTTTTATGAAAATGAAACAAGACCAGAAGTTTTGAAACCGATTAATTCTCCTTTTTTGTCTTATTTCGATTTTGGCCTCACACACTGTTAACTTTCTACTTACGACAAAAGTTGCAGGTCATTGCGCACATGTTCCTCATCCGTAGCCGTACATCCGGGTCCATAGATTTACAATATCCTTCTTCTTTCAACCTGGGACAACGGGACGCAACCTTATCCTTGCAATCATGGGTTTCTAAGATGCAAAGTGAGTTGTGATCAGAAAATGTCTCTTTTTTTAACGCGATAACAGGACAAGCCTCTTACGCAAGCGTTCGTTAGGGCTTCATCACGTGTGCGTGGGAGGCGGCAACAATCACCCCTTTTCGAAGCAGCCTTTAGCCTATTCTTAACATGATTCAGGTTCCAAAAGGGCATGTGCAGCGATAGTGATAACTAGAAAAAAGCACAGTGCTTTTGGAAAGACTGATTGAGAAAGACCTACTGACCTTGCTAGCTCTTCTTTGAAAAATGGGGACGGCGCAAGGAGATACGAGCAAGAAAACAGAGGGAAAAGGATTGTGAGAGAAGGCGAGAGAACCCTTTCTTACCAGCGACACAAAAAGCACAGCTTCTCCTACACGCCTGCATCATCATGTGCTTGTATCGATCAGTGGTGCAATATTTCCACCTCGCCCAAGCTCGGCATCGCGGATCTCGGTCCATGCATTTTTCTTCAGCTAAAAAGGGATAAAAATTACTATTTCTCATAAAATGAATAAAATTAAATAAACAAACCTTTATTAACCCTCGGCAGCACTACATAGCATAAGGGCTAGTGGGGCCGGGAAAACAACTGAAACAAAAAATCCCAATTGGCCCGAGGCAAACCAGTTGATTACTTACAAGTGTGACCGGGACTACCGAGAACTACTCCAGCATGCGATCAGGGAGGGGTCCCCAGAATGGAAAATCAAGCGCTCCAATCACTCAGCCACGTTGTCTCCTCCGTAAATTTACAGATACAAAGGTCAATAATGAAGGACGGAGTCCGTTTAAGGTGGAAATTACAGGTCAGGGGTTATTCAGAACTAACAACCTTCTACATATGGCGCAACATCGACTCCTTAATGTGTTTGCTTATTATATAATACTCTTAACAACAATGACTTACTGCAAATTCGGCAGCTCTTTCTGCATTTGACGTTCATGACATCTGGTCTACTTTCACAGTAGCCATGTTTAGCCCACATTACGCAAGCTTCCTTGTCGTCTACACATTCACTCTCAGAATTATCTTCAACCTTGTTGGCTGTTAAAAGAAAAGAACATGCAGTACACAGTTTACCAGGGTACAGTTGCGCGGTACAAACATACTCTGATATCAACGGTGATATATTAAAAAAAAGTACTACAGAACTCGGTACATTGATGATCAAAATATAGTTGCAAAGTCCCCTAACAGCTAATTACCTGCGTCACAAGAGTTACAGCTTTTCTTGCAGTCCGTTAGCATGAAGTCCCGGCGTGTTTTACAGAAACCTTTCTGAGCCCAGTAAGCGCAAGCCTTGCTTGTGTCGCGACAGTTTGGATCATCTGTCTTCTTCTCCGGTTTTGCTGTGGAAATTTTAATCATATCAGGAACGATACTGACATGCTACTGCGTAATTGTCAGGTGATCATTTTAGATAATTTTAGCAAAGAAGAGGTAATGTAACAGATGAACGCTTGAGATTACAGTTCTAGCCAGTTTCAGCCTTTTCGTTTCTTTATTTCACACTGTATGAATATGTTTCTTCTTAAGGATGGAAAATGCGAGGCAGATGGAAAATAAATAATTACCTTGGTTTGATGATTGGTCAATATACCCTCTAATGCTTACAACACTCCTCGCGGACCGAGCTCGGCCTTCATGATTGCCAGTGTTTGTCGACGATTGTTGCCGCTGACTCTTATCTAAAAGAGACAAGTCAAAGCAGGTCTTAGATTTCTAAAACGAAACTAAAAACGCCCATCGGAGTCTTTATCAAACATCGTGAAGAAAAATCTCTTTAGGGCTATTTTCGAGAGCCAAGAAGCTTCTAGAACTTGTTCTTCTCTAGGGCTAAGTGGAGTAACGAACCACGGTATCCATTGTGTTTCATCCTGACAATGATGAGAAGGTATCTTCATGGGGACAAGGTCAAAAGGAAAAGGGAAAAAAAGGATGCTTCACACCATTAGTTTTAGCAAAATGAACCCAGGCTTGTTCATGATGTCCCTGTGAATCCTATTTCAAAGCAGGTTATGAAATTTCGTAACAGTTTAAATTCTTACCGTCACATTTATACATTAGGTTGACCTGAAGAGCGTCAATCCTAGAGATCCTTCTATAGGGGCGCGCTCGTACTTTCTTCAGGGGCACGATGGTTTTTCTCCTGATTGACCGAGAGAAGGCGTTTAACTTGTAATGCATGATACTGGAGTAATCATATGGCGTATTTAGGGAGTCCACAGCTTGCCATGTTTGTTTCATAAAGGCGTGCTCCCAACCTGATCGTTAAGGAGAAAATGACGGCAATGAATTGGTGGTGACTGAAGAAGCGTTAGCCCGTATTATAAAGAAAGAAAAACACACGGAGTAACCGGCACAGTAATGTAACAATTCCCATATGCTTTATTGACCAAGCCTAAGGTCAAGATGGCTGGATATTGGCCAAGTTATTTTCTGCGTTTTTATTGACCGAGGCAAAGTCAAGGTCAATAAAAATGCAAAGAGGAACGAGGCTAAAATTCAGCCATCTTGAACGAAAAAGCTTAATCAATAGAAGATATATTATATGGCCAAAAAGAGAACTTTTTCTTGCGGGACCAACGCGGAAAATCCTGGGCGGGCAAGATGGCTCCATCTTGCCAGCTATGTAGCTAATCAGAGCACAGGAATCGCTTCATCTTGCAAGCTCGCGGATCCTGTTATATAACGAAAGCAGCTTTCTTAGCCCTATTCTTGGCCCTATTCCACCCAAGACTGGCCAGGTTTTTGGCGAGACACGTATTTCTAGTACTGACCTTTGTTTACGTTTTTCCAAACTATCCTCACGTACTTGTCTCTGTCTGGCCTGCTATGTTCATGCCAAAATCCAATCACGTGACCTATTTCATGAACCATCACGTGATGATACTCGCAGCCAAATCCAACAGAGACTTCCCTACGTCCACTGCGCGCCTTGCCCACTGTGCTGTAACAGCTGAACACAAGTATAAGGGGAATATAATAAGAGGGTTGTAGGCGGACGCATCCCGATGTACTGAACGAGAAATAGCTAGCGCGATTAATGTTTGGAAAGTAATTTACATTCGAATCTAATACCTCTCTTATATGCGACCACGCGCCTTTTAAAAGCGACATAAGCTACTGCTTAATGATATCTTCCTGGTCATCGTTGAAACCTCTATAGACCACCAAAACACCAGCTTTTTCCCAGTGAAAGTACTCTTGTTGCCACCTCTCGAAAGCTACCGCGAGACTGCATTTGTCATTATTGTCTGTCTTATCCCCATGTTAAACGTATGGAACACGCTACTCAGAATTTAACCCTTTCACTGCCAAATTTAGCCAAAAGCAAATTTCGACCAAATTTCGAAATTTAATCTTGCGAAATTTTGAAAAACAAATAGCCCCACGTGAAAGTACAGGCAGAGAACTTTCATTTGAATGGTCACATCATAGGATTTCGTCCACAGACTCAAAAGTTACAGCCATGCCCTAGGAGACTCCATTCATTCACTCTGGCAGTGAAAGGGTTAAGAGGAACTTTTATTAGTGGATAACATGGCACTCAGCAATTGTATTGTAGCTTAAGAGTGCGGGTGTGCAATAAGTTCTCTGCTAAACAGCAGAAGTGTCAGACCAAATCATAGTCACAGTTGTGTTCGCTTGGGTGGTAACACACTTACGGTAAACTCAGAAAAAAACAAACAAACAAAAACACGAAGCTTGGCCAAAAACTAACAACAACTAAAAACGAACGCGCGTATTATGGAGACTTTTTTTTCAAAGAAAAGGAATGACCATATTTCTGCGTTTTTCGCAGGAAATGATAATGATCAATTAACCAATGAATAATTGCGCCAATAAACTTACTGAGTCCCTCTGAAAAATGTGACGTAATCCGTTTCGCTTTCGTCTTTTCTTGGTACAAACTTGAGGCAGGTTTTAGACTCCCAGTCGTCCATAGCTAGTCTGACAATCCTCTGAAGTTCAGGCATATTTTCTGCAAGAAGATACCACTGGATTAAGCAACCAGCAAGTTAGACTTACTGCTGTAGGGATTTTATCACGAGTGAGGGGTAATTTTGTTCAAGTCCACTGGGTGATAAGGTACCAGAGAAGTTCAGTGACAGGGGCCAAAGAGGAGGGAGCATGGTACTCAAGTGACTGTTACTATGACTTAAACTAAAGGGCATCATCGGTTTAACTAAGTCATTCCCCAGTTTGACGACCAAAAATAACAAAACGCCAAACTCTATTTTCATCGTAGAGCGAAGAGGGCCTAATTCAAGTTTTTCTAAATTACCTAAGCTGCAGTCAAACACGTACGGAATGATTCCATTGTCCCATAGTAAGGTCTTCTCTCTGGTAGCAGCCGGTGCTTTAGGCGGGATAGAAAGGTTGTCTTGGCTGCTTGGTAGGTCAAGAAGTGCTTCCTGGTGATACGTTAATTTCATGTCACCGTACAACCAGAAATCTGGTATCATCCTTGGGCTGGAATTTTCCTCTGCAAAAGAAAATAAAAACTGTATAAGCTTGTCATTTTTTTGCCAGGAATACTTCAGCAATACTGAAAACAACAATTATAAAGGCCCATCCGCGCTAGCAAATATTTTATTTACTTTCCGAATATAATCAACGGATTACAATTGCGGACCCTGATTGGAACACCGTACATGTACCTATACTGCCTCGTACCCAGACGTCTCTCTCTCGATGAAAACTTGCGCGCAAAGGATACCTATAGGCTTAACAGTCGTCCTGCCTCGAGCGGGGCTCGTTGAATTTTCGTCACCTTATGTGACTGAGGCACTGCAATGGAAGTTTTTGGTTTCTGTTTGCAGTTGCTTGTTGTTTTTGCTTTTAATCTATCTTGTAAGCATTTAGTAATAAAAATATAGCCACTTTGACTTGATGTGGTAGTTACCCACAGTTTTCAGCATGAATGCACATTTCCATTTAAATCATTATTTTTTAAAGACGAGGAAGTTAATTGCAACATGCTATACCCCAGTCATCAAATTTTGAATTCATAATAAGAGGAATGAAGATGCCAGGGAACTCAGTGGCAGAAAGGTGTCGGGATTTACGAATATTTTGTAACAGCTCGCCATACGTTTTAAATGAAAATCCAACAGAAGGCATTAAGAGCTTTAGAAGCATTAAGAAAGAGTGGAGACGTGTTTTTCAAGGTCCTTAGTATATATTTTTTCTGTAGCCAACCCCGATAGCATACCTTCGTCATCGTTGTCGCTTGGGATCTCGGCGTTTGCTAGAGAAAAAAGAACTGACACTACGAGAATCCAAACCTCAGGAGAAAGTATCATTCTATCCTACAAAAGATAGGAAAAAGGTTAAGGTTTCTGGTCTTGTAGTCCGTGAACTATACAAAAGCACCTGCCATCACGAGTTATAGCCACTTTGAACATGGCTACTACCGCTAACAATAAACGCTGACCTATCAGGAGCACTCAACGTCTCCTACGATTTTCGAACATCTAAAAAATGCTATAATTACCCATTTTAACGGCTTTTTACCCTAAAAAGGTCACCTAGAGTTTTCGGGAGTCTTTTTTCTCGCTGAAATTTTCGAAAAGGTAAGTTTTGATCACTAGACTTTCAGCTAGGAAATCCGAACAGATGAAACATTTTTAGGGGATAAAAATATGCCAAAATCTACCGTTTAAATACTAAAATACGTTTAACAATGTTACGTTTAAGTGGTTTTGAACTATATTCTCGTTAGGTGCCCCTGACCTGTCAAGTAACAGTTAGGAAGGACTGACAGCCATTTGCGCAGTGAAATCCAAAATTGTTTGAAAATGCACACAGGAAAGTAACAATCAGTAACCAATTTGTATGACTTCATATCAGAATTAATTCATTCAACAAACGACAGGACAACATATTGCTTTCTTTGTTTGTAATTATTTAGAATCTTAAATGACGGGACACTCCCTAAATGTACTGAAACTGTCGACCGTGAGCGGTTCCTTTTTAGCCATCGAAGTGAGTACGAGAGTCATTTACCAGCAAGCTGTATTGATGATCAGAGGTCCATATCTTACAAGACAATTAAGCAATGCGCTGACTAACATTTTGCCTCATTTTGTCCATATGCGGCCGTTCATCAGTTTAGGCCACGATTATAGCAGTAATTACAATGGCTAAAGAATAATGCAAAACCGGTACACCTATATTGGATCGCCTGAGATATACACTAACTTTGACGGGCCGTAACGACAGAAAGCATGAAGTATACGGTCACATTAATCGCTTTGGATATGGACTGATAATATAGGTGCACACGAAAGCGTCTTTACCGGAAGCAAATAGATATTTCTTAATCAATAAATACCTCTCAGTTGACCTCTTCGATGATGCTAAAGTAAAAGCCTTGGAAAACTGGACCAAACGGTGGTGACAGAATAATGTGGTGTAACGGTTCATTCAGTTCTTGCAAGAAAAGCTGTTACATTTTGTATGCACTTGCTGCGTGCTTTCCAAAGACCACACAAATAGAAAACAAACACTTCTCAACAGAACTGAGCTGATTTGTTCCCACAGAAACACAAGCACGCCATTAAAGAGCCATTACTGACAAGCTTCATTAAAGAGGTAACAAATAACTACGGTGCATTGTATTGTAATGAAAATTCTCTGTTTGACTCGAAATTAACATTGACTTGGCAATAAGATATTAGTATAGTTTTCAATGAAAAGGCCTGTCATGAAATATGACCAGAATCATTGCTGTTTAAAATCGTCAACTGAACTGATCTGCCAAAAGTAACTAACCACCAAAGTAATCGTTGTTATCTCCGTGTCGTAGCTGGCGATAATACGGTACAGATCGAGATAACTGCAATGTCTTTATTCACTAAATTCTGCCAATGTATTCTATAAATGCAATAAAAAACAGGTGTTAATCACAAAAAGCCGAGTCATCACCGTGATTTATTCATATTATTTTCAGTTCGACAATGTAATTACAACCTTACGTTCAATGGCTTCATTGTCATTCATACAGAGCCTTTATTCTGCAGTAATTGATCGGCGAAAATAGAACGTGTTTTAGTGATGAGCTGGTAAACATTTTTACAGGTTTTGAAGGTGCTTTCGTGTTAATTAAAATTTGACCAAGTAACTATTTCATTACAGTCTTCTTATCTGAGAGCAGAAACTCTGTTTCTTCTGGTTCTGCTAGAAGGTCCAAGAGGAGGGTTCGTTCTTTTGGGAATTCTTGGGTTCAAATACTACAATCTAAAAACTGAATCAAAAGATTTCACAGCCCGAAGGGTTTCATCATCGATCCATAGGTTCCTTTGACGTGAAAGAATAAATAAAGAAAGAAAGCCAGAAAGACAGACAAAAAGAAAAAAAGAAAAGAAAAAAAAGGGACTAAGCGACTTCCGGTGTGCTCAATTTGTCGCTGTGCGATTGGTCGAGACGCTTTTAACTGACGGAAAATAGGACGCACGTCAACCGGAAGTGGACTTTTTGCATTCTTGGGCTATGTTTTTGAACAAATTTTTGGGTAAATCGTCTCAATAAGAGGTAAGAAACTTAGAAATACAAATTTGGTACCGTCAAGGCAGCTGTCAAGGCATATTGAAAGAGAAAAAGGTTCACTTCCGGTTAACGTGCTTTGCTCAAAAACCCAGATATCTGTGCCAACACTTGTCACTGTCGTCGCCTTGTTTTTGGTACGTAAATCTGCTTATTCTCTGGGAATCTGAGGCCTTAAATACTAAAATACTTCAGGGCTCAGCTGTTAAAACAAGCGCAAGTGCGCATGTTTAGTTATTTTAAGATCATATTTTTAATTTTTAATTTTGATGTGTTTTTTCTTGGTTAACGACGGAATTAGATTACAATAGGACAAAGGTCCATTGACTCTCCAAAACATTTTCTTAACCTTTTCACCAAGATTAGACTAATAATTTCTTGAGGTATGGTAATTTTCGGATTAATTAACTGAAATTGTTTTCCTTTGAAATTCCCAGTTTTGAGCAAAAAGAGAAAGAAGAAAAGACAAAATAACAAAGAACCAAAGTGTTTGTACTATGATTTTAAGCATACTTTTATACAATTCAGTAGACTGATAGAGACTGTCTTGGTTTTGTTTTTCTAACACTTCACAAACTACGAAAGTGCTGCTTGGAGTTTTGCACGAATTTTTTTGCTCTTGTCATAAGACTTTCAGGCTGTACAAATATACAATATATTTCATTTAGCTACATGATTAGAACTGTCGCTTAACTTAGCGATAAGATGTCAGGAGAGAGCAAACGCCGTAAAATAAGGATTAAACTTAAAAGAAGAAAAGAAAAATATTTTGTCTCTGCTTTCTCAGACACCTGTGTATTTTTAGGACTTTTAGATTCAAGTTCACCTTTCAATATGAGATGAATTGCGTACCACTGAATGACCTTTGTTTTGACTAAAAGCAAACGAGCCAAATAACTTGCATGCATGAAAGAGAAATAAGTTCTTCAGCTCCAGTACGCTTTTCATATTCCGAGAAGCCAACTTCAACAGAATAAACCCAAAAAGAATATAAGGCATCACAAAAATGGAAACAAAAACTCTTCGTTGGAGATTTAAATCCAAAACAAACGCTCTGCGGTAAAGGCATTTCTTTTAAGTTATTTGTATGACTTAAAGTTTATGAAGATACAAGAATCCTCGGAAGACCATTTTGTCCTTAACGTTCGGTCGTGAACGATAAAAATTATTTTCGAGTTACAGTTCCTTACTTAATTCCAATTTGTCGCTAAAGTTAGTTTTAGGCCTGTTTACAAGGACGTGTGAGCTGAAAAGAACTTTTCGGCACCTACCGCAGTTGACGGTTTTTGTCCAACGACACGAGCAAGTTCAGGTTTCTTGTTTCTCTGTGGTAATAAAAGCTGACATGAGTTTATTATATGTGCAAAAATGTACTTGGTATAGGTTACGGATTTAGCGAATTAAATTTGCCTTACAAAACCTGACACTAAATCCTCAATGATTAGTCAGTCTGCTCAAGTCTTGTTTAATTAAGCATTGTTTTCAAGTGCTTTCATTCATCAGGTTCCAGATATAAAGTTAACGATTTGTTTCGCGGAATGAACCTTTCAGAAAAATCTTTAAGATCTGCACGCTTCGTCTGTGCCTTGATTAACAGAAAATGTTCCTTGCGATAAATGAGCCGAGGTGTAACACAGTAATATAAGCTTACGGACGAAATATGTTCGTCTTCTCTCGATTTTCGAGGAGTCTGCGCAGTCAGAAAATCCAGTATTCATTCTTTACCATTTACTTAAGACACCTTTACAGTGGTACTGAGTTCTTCAGCTGGTACAGCTTGGTACTTTAAGGTCGACGGCTTTCACAAAGTGCTTTGTTTTCATTATCACATTAATGAAGAGACTTTTAATTTAATCGAAAAAAAACTCACTTCTTTGTCTTTTAATTAATTGGTTACCAGCCGAAGGGAATGACAGAATTTTCTTCAGTAATATAATTGTTCCCATCTTCAAGTGGGTATTAACCCTTTCAAGCTCCTCACGATTCCAACTTGTACACTTACTGAATAAAAACCCTAAGGAGTTAACATATCATATGGCCTAGCAAGGAATTTTACAAACGGAAATTTTTAGATTTTTTTCTTTACTTTTTAGGGGGAAGGGGGCGAATTTATTCTTTGGTCACTATAATAGGAGTGAAACTGGGTTAAATCTGCGTTGAACCGTACGTGTTGGCTGTTTAATCCTCTCAATTGTTTATGTGACAATGTTAATCAAAGATCAAAAGAGCATGCTAAAGCAAAATCAGATCACGCGATCCCCCAGTATTTACCAATGCATTAGGAATTCAAAACAGCAATACGGAAAACACAAAGCTCACTCGACCTTGCCGTGATCAAAAGTGTGATTCTTTCTAAAACAAGTGATACTTCTCGGTTGTTGCTGTTTAAACGTAACCCTAAAGAGTTATTACCGAAGTTCTAGCTGAGGTCTCGTTGAGATAGCACCTCTTGAAAGTTTTATGTCAGATGCTCTTAAATGTGAGACAAAAATAACTTCAAAGTCCTGAATGTTGGCCCGACAACATTTAGGATAATTTTAGACTTAAGTAAATGAATTGTTAAGTGATTATAATATTGTTTTCCGGATTTTAGAAAACAAACTCTGAGACACGTCGTGGGTTCGCTTGCATTTTTTTCAAGTTAATAGCAAATTGACCTCTTTCAGTAAAAAAGAAACGTTTGGAAACCTTCTTATTTTATCTTGTTTACTGGAGGGCCACAAAAATCATCAATCAATTGGTTAGATTGGTTTTTCTTAATTTTTCTAATTGTAGAAGGACATAGAAACTATTGAGTAGTGCCTGTATAACTCATAAGAGTGAACGTTTTACAACTTGTCTTTCATTGAAGTTCGAATATCATAATCATATCAATGATATTATTTCAGGTAGACTGCAAAACACACCGTATTTTTTTCCTAGATTGAGCAGTCAAAGGGACCATCTGGTGTAAGGGTGAAAACGGAGAGTGGGACTGGAGAGAAACAGGCGAAATATCATGCCGGCGCAAAACGGATTACTATAGATGGTTTTCACAGTGACGTCATCAAAAATTGTAAAGTCAAAATAGCGAGGTTTTAAGAATTCTTATTTACACTAGGTTAAACAAAGAGTTAATCTTTGTACAAGTTTCCATTCCCGTAGCATGTTTCATTTCGAAAATACAGCAATTTGAAATTCCGAGTTTTCACAGTGCGTGACACCAAAATAGGAATGCTGTCTCGTTGAAAAAAAGTCTCTCTCTTGATTTTCAGCAGTATAACCATTTCAAGTATTAGAAGATATGTTTATGCGCACGTATTCTATACTAGTTCTCGAGGGGAAAGAAAGAGCTTTTATAGAAAAAGTGAACTCCAGATGTTTTTGTTGGTTTCTGGCGGCCATATTCGTGCACCAAAGCGGTGCACCAATATGGCATCTCCATACAAAGCTCTACAAAGGTGCGTGAAACATTTGGGCAAATAACTCAGAAATTGTGGGCCACAATTGCAAAGACCTGAGACTTGGACAAATTGTTTATATATTAGTCTTTTATAACATTTCATTTTCTTGGCTTCTTCTACTGGACAGTTTCCAATATAATTTCTTGTTGCGTGACGGTGAAAACGATCTATTTTGCAGTCTGTATTTCAGGATACAGCACCGTCAAGCTCGTTCCCAGGGCCCCCTTCCTTCGTGGGACGACTGGAGTTTGCAGAATTGGCAATCAACGCGGTGGACTGTGTTATATTCTTCAAACAGAATTTGTCCTCCCTTGAAATGAACTTTTTCTGTTCTTAATGCTATGTTTTAAGAAGACGTTTGGCTATTTCTTCTTTGCAAAGCGTGTGAAAATTTCCCCCTTTTTTTTAGATCTACCAATACAACTAAGTTAACGTAAAACTCGTCCCCGGGGCTTCCGGGATGCCGTCAGATTTTCTTGCCATATCCTGTACTATATATTCACGCCATTTCACTGGATATCGCAAACGTCTCCTAAATTTGGTCAACGCCAGCCGGGGGATTTGAGCACCAGTCAGAAACAGAGAAATATTTTGATTGAATAATAAAGCATTGTATATACAATCACTAGAAAATGACTCATTTCAGGACATTAAAATAGCGAGCTCAAGCAAAGACTCTTTTTGTGCGACGCACGTTAACCGGAAAAGGACTTCTTGCATTCTAGGGCATTCTTCCCGAAAGGTTAGGGCAAATCGTCTCTACAGGCCGGAGAAGAGACACTTAGTAAGACAATTTTGGTAGTGTCAAGGCCTATTAAAATGAAAAAGGCCTCAGTCACAGTTGACGTGCGTGGCTCAAAAACGCCTTTGCTTAAGCTCCCTAATGTTGAATGCTGGGACAAGCGGTCCTCCTGACGAAGTGCTTGAAGATGGCGACTCACAGGACGTTGCTTGAAAGCCAAGCTTATGTACCATACACGCATTAATGTGGAATTCTGCTGATCATTTGAAACAAAGAAAGTGTGAAATTGAGACCGAAAATTTATAGACAGACGTTAGGCGCAACCTCGTTTTCAGGGGTCCTCCTACTCGCACCAGGCTTCCAGGAAACGATTAGGGAAAAACCCTGGGAACGAGGTTGGAAATTAAATAGCTGGAGCACCTCTCCAGACTCAGAAAATGGAACATTGGCCCTAGGTGCTAGTTCGAGCATAACCGGTGAGCAGAAGCCGAGTTCTTTCTGGCATGGCTTTTAGCATTTGCGAAGTCGTCCGCGTGGCTCGTCGAACGAGGCCATGCCAGAAATAAGCCTCTGCTCGCAGGGTAGTTTGAGCATTCATGGTATTGACAGTTCACGGGAACACTTTTCATTACATGATGTGATATTTATAATTCTTGGTAACTAGCAACTGAATAAACGTTTCCATTTGGTAAAATAAATACACTAATATAAATCCAAGCAAAAGCACGCCAAATAGAAGTCAGGCGACCAAAAACGCGGGAAAAATCTGATGTACCACCGACTCCTTTGCGCTTCTTCTGCGCTTTCCGAAACTAATGTAAGAAACAGGTAGTATTTGCAAGCAGGGCATAACCATGTTCCGAAGGCCTAACATTCTGTGTACATTCAGTTAAAAAATTTACATTAAGAAAGGGGGCACAATGTTCCCCTTGACCCTTGCTAAATCTATCCATCGTAGTTTACTATTTTAGCCAATCTTAAGTGTCTTCTATTAGACAAAATTTAGAGCATTAGAGTTTCCCAGCTATCTTATTAAGCCTGAATTTTTTTTTTACGATAAGCCCACCCACAAGTCTGGATTATTTCTTAACCTTAAATGTCATGCTTCAACTTTCTTTAACCTATAAGGCTTCGTATAAGACGTGCCTTGCGCGCGTAAACTACTATAGTTTTCATGGTGCGAAAGGATATCGGGACTTGCAAGATAGGGCCACTTGGACTCCAGTGCGCACACCACCTGCTTGGACTCCAAGAAAATTTTAACATACCTAACCGCATAGTCGCATAATTATCCACACTTCAGATCTACGTTTTAAAACCATTTTTCAGGGCAAAAACTCGCATCAATCTCTCTTTCTGGTCAATGCAAAGGGGGTTGTCAAAGATCATTTTCACATGGGCTCTCCCGACCTAATTTACGAATATTGCCTTGAATTTGTCTCGCTCTCAGAAGGACACGCTTCAGTTGCCGCCATTATAAATAGAACATTACTCCTCCAAGATGGCGGCGCCTCGTTTTCGGAACTTTTGTGACGTCACGCTAACAGACACTATTCTAAGAAATCTGATTTCTTGTTTTATAGCGTTGCTTCAGGTCCTACTATTAAACATACAGTTCAACCTCTTTGCAACGGTCACTTTAGGGACAGAAGAAAGTGGTTATTGTAGAGAGGTGGCCGTTGTAGAGAGGCTGAAACAAGAATCAATGTATGGACTGTCCGCCAAAAAAAAGGCCGTTGAAGAGAGGCGGCCGTTACTGGAGGTTAGACTGCATTGCATTACCTTTCTCTCGGGTCTAACCGCATATCCACCGGTACGAAATTCGGTAAATCAGTTGACCAAAAATTCTTGAAGCCACTCCTCTTGCACGGAAAAGCCGACAGGATAACAGAAGGAAAGTCCATTCTACGGACCCCGGTAAGTATTGATGAGATGAGCACGAACATCTTTCTTAAAAGGTTGGGCGAGTGCAACCCCTGGGGAAGCGTTCGCAGGGGAACCGGAACACTGAACAGGTATTATAAGGAATTCAGCGTCGGGGTGTAATTGAAAGCGCGATTGGGTGGGAAAGATAGTCTAGGATGAGTTATAAGAGCCCGGGGGGGCTCCCATATAAAAGTAATGGGGATGC